GGTACGTGCACCTGTTCGCGTTCGCGCATTTTCCGAAAAGGAACCGCCGGCAGGGGAAGGGCGTCGTCTGCTGGCGCTCGCCCTGCCCGGCCGCGGCGGCAGCCTGTCCCGCGCCGGCAGCCCCGCGCTGCTGCCCGGCCTCTGCCCCGACCTCGGCCTGGCAGCGCGACAGGAGAGACCAGTCCATCTCCCCGAGAACACGGGCAACGTTCTCGCGCCCTTCTGCGTCGTTGCTGCCGCGCTTGCTGGCTGCGTAAGCCTCCCGGAGGAGGCGCGTGGCGTAGAACGCCGACGCCCTCTCGGCCTGCCCAGGCGGGACGGCGTTGTCTGCCGCGGCGGCGGCGGCCTGGCCGACCCAGTTCAGGGCGTCGCCCCAAGTGGCGCGGCCCTGAAGGGCAGCGGCCCAAACGCGCGGCAACTCCTGGCACAAGGTCTGCGCCAGCGGGCGCTGTAAGCGGCCCACGTCCTCCACCTTGGGCGCAGGTGTCTGGAGGAACCGCCCGGCCTTGCGCGCCGCGGCGGCGGCGCGCAAGACGGACTCGTCGGGCTCCAGGCTGCGAAGTGGTTCTCCTTGGCCGGCGGTCTGCACCAGTTTCCGCAGCTGGTCTGCGGGGTCGTGCTCCCCCGTCAGCTCCTCGAGCGCCTTGGCGTCCTGCCTCACAGCCGCCGCCGCGACCTGCCCCAAGAAGAGATTGCCGCTGGCTGCTGCCTGGCCGGCTGGAGGGTGCCAGGGCGAAACCCCTGTCCAGTCGCCCGGCGGGCCGTCGAACGGGGACATCGCGGAGCCTGCCGGGGTGGCCTCGGAGACGGGCCTGGCCGAGTGGCCCTTTGCAGGCATGGCCCCCAGGAGCTCGTGGATGACTGCCGTGGCCCGGGGGCCGAGGTCCCCCGGCAGGCTGCGAAGGAAGGCCCTGTTGCACATGTTGCCGATGTCCTTCAGCAGCTCCCCGGCATCGGGGTCGTTATACCCACACTTGACCAAGGCTTCTGTGAGACGAATCCACCGCGCCTCCTCTGTGAGGGCACAGGCCGCCGCTCCACATGTAGCGAGCTTCTCCTTGAGGGTGCCGAAAGTCGTGACTCCTGCCAGCGGGTCTGCTGCAGCCGGAGCGGCACCCAAGGCCGCGGAGGCCTGTGCAACTGGGTCGCGGGCAGTTCCTGCAGCTACGCCTCCGGCCCCGGGTGCTGCTGGGCCGAGTGGCGCTGCTGGAGCTGCGCCTTCTGGCATGGGTGCTGAAAGGGGAAGGGTGGGGATGGAGTAATAAAGTAAGCCTTGGAAGTAAAAGACAAGCGGTCCCCCCTGTGACCCAAAAGGCTGCGGAGAAGACAAGGGGAGCAGAGGGGGAAGTGAGACGGATGCAAGCAAGTGCGGAGGGAGGGTGCAGAGAGACTAACTACGCTTCACATTTGTGAATCCGCGTTTTACGCTGGACTGGCGCCCAGCTCTCTTTTCAATTGGCGCCGGTCCCAGCAAGAATAACGCTTCCGCTCAAGGTTTCCTCCCTTTTTCCTGAAGACGGTGCTGTTCCTCGCCGCCGACAACCCCCGTCCCGACAAAACCACGGCTCCCGCTCGATGCTTTTCCCCTTCTTACTAAAGGAGGTGTTCCTCCTCGCCGCCGAAAACCGCCGCCCCGACAAAACCAGCGCTCCCGCCCGAGACATCCTTCCGTTTTACGCTCTCTTTTGAATTGGCACCGCTCCCAGCAAAAACAACGTTCCCGCTCGATATTTCTTTATGTTTTTTTCCTCGGGACGGTGCTGCTCCTCGCCGCCGACAGCCCCCGTCCCGACAAAACCACGGCTCCCGCTCAATGCTTCCTCCTTTCTTGCTCCAAGCGGTGTTCCTCCTCGCCGCCGGAAGCCGCCGTCCCAACAAAACCAGCGTTCCCGCTCGAGACTTCGTGTTGTTTAACGCTGGACTAGCGCCCTACTCTCTTCAGCATTGGCGCCGCTTCCAGCATCAACAGCAGCCCTGCTCGAGACTTCCTCCCTTTCTATTCAGGGCCAGGTCCTTGCCTCACCGCCGACAACCCCCATCGCCACCAAGCCAATCCTGTCGTTCGATACTGCCTTGTGCTTTACCCTTCGATGTGTCTCCACTGGCGGTCTCGCATCGGCGCAGCAAGGCGCGGAAATTTGTGTTCGAGGCGGGATATGTTGAAATTCCTCGGAGGTGTTTGCAAGACCTCATTGGGCGGGGGATCTGGGAATGGGAATAATGGACCCCGCTGTAGAACCAGAGGCCCCATGATGTGGATGGTTATCATGATGGTCGCATGCTTCGTGTGGAAATATCGCGCATGGGGGTAAAATGATTATTGTTGCTGTTGTTGTTGCTGTTGTTGTTGTCGTCCCCTCACGACCGACCCACGACTGGCCTGCGAACCATCCGCGACCCACCCACCCGCGACCCACTCCGCGACCCACCCGCGTCCCACCCGCGACCCACCCCGCGACCCGCCCGCGACCCACCCGCGACCCACCCGCGACCCACCCGCGACCCGGCCCGCGACCCACCCGCGACCCACCCGCGACCTACCCGCGACCCACCCCGCGACCAACCCACAGTGCTTTAACAAAAAGATCGGCGACTGCAGCAGGCTTCCTCCGAGTCTCGCAGACTGCCGACGTCCTCGCCGCCTCCTCGTTCTTATCCGCAGCTGCGGGGTGCTACGTATACCGCCAAAAAGATACGCTCAGAGACGCATAAGGCGGGTACAGACGATTCGGGATATACGTGTTGAATGGCACGCGCGCTGATAGGGGCGAGCAGTCTGAACATGATTGTTGTTGAATTTTCGGGGCTGCGCTAAATGCGCATGGCATCAAAGGGGGTAAGGCCGAAAACAAAGAGGGCGGGTGCCGAGGGTTTGGGGTAGACGTGTGGAATGGTGAGCGGACAGATACGAGCGAGCAGTCTCAAATGATTAGTGTTGTTGCTGCTGCTGTTGTTGTCGTTGTTGTTGCTTTTGTTGTTGTTGTTGCTATGTGTTGTTGTTGCTGTTGTTGGTGTTGTTGTTGTTTTTGTTGTTACTGCTGTTGTTACTGTTGTAGTTGCTATCGTTGTCGTTGTCGTTGTCGATGACATTGGCGTTGTCGTCGTCATTGATGGCGTTGCTGAAATCTCCTGCCTAGGGATAATAATTGATCCCCTCAGGTAACCATTACATTTTTCAATTAAAGTCCCCCCCGCTCTCACCCTGTTGTTCACAGGCCAAGGGGAACAGGGTATCTCCAAACAGTGTTGTTGGCCCCCGAGTTGCAACAAGAACGGCTCCCGACTGGTACGTCCTCACAAGTTATTATAGCATCGCGCTCTCACGCGGGACATCTTCAACCTTTACTCAAGAATCGCGCTCTCGCGTGGGTCTTCACCGCAATTTATTCACACGCCGCGCCCTCGACACTCAGGAACCACGCTCTCGCTTCAGCTTTTCTCACAATTCATTTTGGAAACGCGCTATCGTTTGAGAGTTCGTCGCCGTTCGTGCAGGACTCACGCTTGACCAACCCGCCTGCTCGACCTGGTCGCCTGGGCAGCCTTCCCGACCCGCCCGCGCCTAGGGTCTGCACACCCAGTTTGCCCGTCTGGTTCTGCCACGTGGGGCTGCGCTAAATGCGTGTGGCGGGTGAGGAAGATATTTCCCCAAGGGGGGTACAATCGAAGACGGAAAAGGCGGGTATCGAGGCTTTGGACTTTGGAATATGCGTGTTAAAATGGCACGCGAGCAGATAGGAGCAAATAGTCTTAAAATGGTTATTGTCGTCGTTGTTGTTGGTGGTGTTGTTGTTACTGTTGTTGTTGTGGATGCTGTTATTGTTGTTGTTGGGCTCTCACGGATGAAAACAATTATTGTTGATCCCCCCTCTCCGGTAACATATGTTTTTTTTTCCATTGAGGTGCCCCTCCCGGGGCTGGCACCCTGTTCTTTTTATCAGGGGAAATCATCCTCCCCAAACTGCGGTCCTGACCCCCGAAGTTCGTTGTTGTTGTTGTAGTTCGGGGGCCTCGAACTACAACAACAACGGCTCTCGCCTTAGACTTCCTCACAATGCACTCGCAAATCACGCTCTCGCGCAGGACTTCCTCAATTTATTCAGGAATCGCACTCTCGTGTGGGACCTCGTCGCAACTTATTCAATGGCCGCGCCCTCGACGTTCAGGAGTCACGCTCTCGCTGTGGATTTCCTCACGGTTAACTTGGGAATCGAGTTGTCGCTCGAGACTTCCTCGCCATTCATGCAGGACGCACGCTTCAACAACCCGCCTGCTGCTCGACCTGGCCGCCTGGACCCTCCTTCCCGACCCGCCTGGTAGGCAGATGGCAATGTAGAGTCAACACCCGATGACAGCGAGGAGAACGAAACAAGCCAGGAGCCTTCAACCGCACAGTGTGGCAATCGGTCTAGCTCAAGTCCAAGCTCCGTGAATACCCACGTAAACTCACTTCTAAAGTCTACGGTCAGGAGCTTCTGCTTAGCGTGTCGCGGCGGCGGCCCCGGAGACACGCTATCCCCTGCCAGCTGATAGCGTGTCGCTGCACTCCGTGGGGCGGGAGACTGGGAAAGGCTTGGGAGGTTAACGCCTGGCAAGCGCCGCAACGTGGCGGGCCAGGACTGGCGCAGCGACACGCTAAGCCAAAGCTCCTGACCGTACGCTTCTCAGAGTGAGGGGACCGACAGGTCTTATACCATCCCTGGGTGCGTGCCTGAAGTGGGCTGCCGCGGTGAGGATTCTTTCATCTTGCTGTTGTCGTCGTCCTCCGTGCTTCTCCTCGCCTGCGACTCTCCCGCGACCTACCCACCCGCGACCCCTCCCGCGACCCCTCCCGCGACCCACCCCGCAACCCACCCGCGATCCACCCGAGACCCACCCGCAACCCACCTTGCGCCCGCCTCCTCACTTTTGTCCGCAGTCGCGGGGTGCTACGGTATCGCTTGTTGTGTTCGAGGCTCAGAGGGAGGGGCGACCTTGAAGGGCGGAGGCTGCCCGCGGTCCGGGGCCCAGCAGGTCGGGCAGCACCCGCCCCCACAGATCAGCTTGAAGGTTACGCCCAGCGCCTCCGGGCAGCACAGATCCCCCGCTACACCCTGCTCTCTCCTCCTCCTCCTCCTCCTCCTCCTCCTCCTCCTCCTCATTCCTTCATCCTCCTCCTCCTCCTCCTCCTCCTCCTCATTCCTTCATCCTCCTCCCTCCTGCCTCTACCCTCCTTCGTTCCTCCTCCTCCTCCTCCTGCTCCTCTTCCTCCTCCTTCCCCTCCGTTTCTTCCTCCTCATCCTCTCCTGTCCTCTCCTCTCCGTCTCTCTCCTTCCTTGTATTCTTAGTATTATTATAACTATTGTTTTTCTTATTTGGCTTCTCAACCTCCTCCTCTTCCTCCTCCTCCTCCTCCTCCTCCTCTTTTCCCCGAGGGCAGGAGATCTGCGGGCACTTGTCGGTCTTCTCTTCATCCTCGTTCTCCTCG